GTGTGTGTGTGTGTGTGGGTGGTGTGTGTGTGTCTGTGTGGGAGGTGTGAGTGTGTGGGTGTGTCTGTGAGGGAGGTGTGAGTGTGTGGTGTGTGTGTGAGGTGAGTGTGTGTGTGTGTGGGTGTGTGTGTGTGTGTGTGTGTGTGTGGGTGTGTGTGAGTGTGTGGGTGTCTGTGAGTGAGGTGTGAGTGTGTCTGTGTGGGAGGTGTGAGTGTGTGGGTGTCTGTGAGTGAGGTGTGAGTGTGTCTGTGTGGGAGGTGTGAGTGTGTCTGTGTGGGAGGTGTGAGTGTGTCTGTGTGGGAGGTGTGAGTGTGTGGGTGTCTGTGAGTGTGAGGTGTGTGAAGTGTGTGAGTGAGGTGTGTGTGTCTGTGTGGGAGGTGTGAGTGTGTGGGTGTCTGTGAGGGAGGTGTGAGTGTGTGGGTGTGTCTGTGTGAGTGTGTGGGTGTCTGTGAGGGAGGTGTGAGTGTGTCTGTGTGTGTCTGTGTGGGAGGTGTGAGTGTGTGGGTGTCTGTGAGGGAGGTGTGAGTGTGTGGGTGTCTGTGAGTGAGGTGTGAGTGTGTCTGTGTGGGAGGTGTGAGTGTGTGGGTGTCTGTGAGGGAGGTGTGAGTGTGTGGGTGTCTGTGAGTGAGGTGTGAGTGTGTCTGTGTGGGAGGTGTGTGTGTGTGTGCGTGTGTGAGTGAGGGTGTGTGTGTGTGGGAGGGTGTGTCTGTGAGTGAGGTGTGAGTGTGTCTGTGTGGGAGGTGTGAGTGTGTGTGTGTGTCTGTGAGGGTGTGTGTGTGAGTGTGGGTGTGTGTGTGTGTGTGTGGGTGTGTCTGTGATGAGGATGTGAGTGTGTGGTGTGTGTCTGTGAGGGAGTGTGTGGTGTGTGTGTGTGAGGGTGTCTGTGAGTGAGGTGTGTGTGTCTGTGAGGGTGTGTGTGTGTGTCTGTGAGTGAGGGTGTGTCTGTGAGTGAGGGTGTGTCTGTGATGACGGTGTGAGTGTGGCTGTGTGTCTGTGAGGGAGGTGTGAGTGAGGGTGTGTCTGTGAGGGAGGTGTGAGTGAGGTTGTGTTGGTGTCTGTGAGGGAGGTATGATTGAGGTGTGTGGGTGTCTGTGAGGGAAGTGTGTGTGAGGGTGTGTGGGTGAGTATGTGAGTGAGGGTGTGTGGGAAGTGTGAGTGAGGATGTGTGTATGTGAGGGTGTGTGGGTGTAAGGAAGGTTTGAGTGAGGGTGTGTGTCTGTGGGAAGTGTGAGTGAGGGTGTGTGGGTGTATGTCTGTGAGGGAGGTGTGGGTGAGGGTGTGGGTGTGTGAGGTGTGAGTGAGGGTGTGGGTGTATGTCTGTGAGGAAGGTTTGGGTGAGGGTGTGTGGGTGTATGTCTGTGAGGGAGGTGTAAGTGAGGGTGTGGGTGTATGTCTGTGAGGAAGGTTTGAGTGAGGGTGTGAGGTGTGAGTGTGAGTGAGGGTGTGTGAAGTGTGAGTGAGGGTGTGGGTGTTTATCTGTGAGGAAGGTTTGAGTGAGGGTGTGTGGGTTAATGTCTGTGAGGGAGGTGTGAGTGAGGGTGTGGGTGTGTGAGGTGTGAGTGTGAGTGAGGGTGTATGTCTGTGAGGGAGGTGTGAGTGAGGGTGTGTGTCTGAGGGAAGTGTGAGTGTGAGGGAGGTGTGTCTGTTAGGGTGTGCGTCTGTGAGTGAGGGTGTGTGTCTGTGAGTGAGGGTGTGTCTGTGATGACGGTGTGAGTGTGGGTGTGTGTCTGTGAGGGAGGTGCGAGTGAGGGTGTGTGTCTGTGAGGGTGTGTGTCTGTGAGTGAGGGTGCGTCTGTGATGACGATGTGAGTGTGGGTGTGTGTCTGTGAGGGAAGTGTGAGTGATGGTGTGTGTCTGTGAGGGTGTGTGTCTGTGAGTGAGGGTGTGAGGGTGTGTGTGTGTCTGTGAGTGAGGGTGTGAGTGTGGCTGTGTGTCTGAGGGAGGTGTGAGTGAGGGTGTGTGTGTGTCTGTGAGTGAGGGTGTGTGTGTGAGTGAGAGTGTCTGTGATTGAGGGTGTGCGTCTGTGAGGGTGTGTCTGTGAGTGAGGGTGTGTGTGTGAGTGAGTGTGTGTCTGTGTGTGAGTGAGTGTGTGTGTGTCTGTGTGTGTGTGTGTGTCTGTGAGTGAGGGTGTGTCTGTGAGTGAGGGTGTGTCTGTGAGTGAGGGTGTGTCTGTGAGTGTGGGTGTGTCTGTGAGTGAGGGTGTGTCTGTGAGTGAGGGTGTGTGAGTGTGTGAGGGTGTGTGTGAGTGAGGGTGTGTGAGTGAGGGTGTGAGTGATGGTGTGTGTCTGTGAGGGTGTCTGTGAGTGAGGGTGTGAGGGTGTGTGTGTGTCTGTGAGTGAGGGTGTCTGTGAGTGAGGGTGTGTCTGTGATGACGGTGTGAGTGTGGCTGCGTGTCTGTGAGGGAGGTGTGAGTGAGGGTGTGTCTGTGAGGGAGGTGTGAGTGAGGGTTTGTAGGTGTGTGTCTGTAGGGAGGTGTGAGTGAGGGTGTGTGGGTGTGTGTCTGAGAGGAAAGTGTGAGTGAGGTTGTGTTGGTGTCTGTAAGGGAGGTGTGAGTGAGGGTGTGTGGGTGTCTGTGAGAGAGGTGTGAGTGAGGGTATGTGTCTGTGAGGGAGGGTGTGAGTGTGGCTGTGTGTCTGAGGGAGGTGTGAGTGAGGGTGTGTGTGTGTCTGTGAGTGAGGGTGTGTGTGTGAGTGAGAGTGTCTGTGATTGAGGGTGTGCGTCTGTGAGGGTGTGTCTGTGAGTGAGGGTGTGTGTCTGTGAGTGAGGGTGTGTCTGTGAGTGAGGGTGTGTGTCTGTGAGGGTGTGTGTCTGTGAGTGAGGGTGTGTCTGTGAGTGAGGGTGTGTCTGTGAGTGAGGGTGTGTCTGTGAGTGTGAGTGTGTCTGTGAGTGAGGGTGTGTCTGTGAGTGAGGGTGTGTCTGTGAGTGAGGGTGTGTCTGTGAGTGAGGGTGTGTGTCTGTGAGGGTGTGTGTCTGTGAGTGAGGGTGTGTCTGTGAGTGAGGGTGTGTCTGTGAGTAAGGGTGTGTCTGTGAGTGAGGGTGTGTCTGTGAGTGAAGGTGTGTCTGTGATGGTGGTGTGAGTGTGGGTGTGTGTCTGTGAGGGAGGTGTGAGTGAGGGTGTGTGTCTGTGAGGGAGGTGTGAGTGAGGGTTTGTAGGTGTGTGTCTGTAGGGAGGTGTGAGTGAGGGTGTGTGGGTGTGTGTCTGAGAGGAAAGTGTGAGTGAGGTTGTGTTGGTGTCTGTAAGGGAGGTGTGAGTGAGGGTGTGTGGGTGTCTGTGAGAGAGGTGTGAGTGAGGGTATGTGTCTGTGAGGGAGGTGTGAGTGAGGGTGCGTGGGTGGTGGTGGTGAATGTATCTTTGTGGGTTTTGCGAAGTTAACTCCCATCTCTGTCAGTATTGGTGTATTTGTTAAATCCCTTGCATTGCATGTTGAATTACTTTCCTATGCATGAATGGCACATAATGTATTCTGTGTGCTTGTTATGAGAGATCACTATCCAAATATATTTAAGTACATGTATGTTTGTAGTATTCATTTGCTGTATCCATGTGTATAATTTTGGGGTTCAAATACTTGCGATTTGCACATGTATTCATGTCCCATGCTGCAGAACGTGTATGGTATCCCCATAGGGGATTCCCTTCTGCCTGTATTTTTCAATGTTTTGAATGGCTAATGTTTTCGCGATGCATGTTTATTTCTAACACAACTTTATTATTGTACACAACTGTATGCTCGGGTGTCATTGTGCGTCACAAGGCATGTGTATTTCGATGCACATTATTAAATTTTAATTATAACGCAGTATATTTGTGTATTATATGACAGTCTGGCAGAGGCGTATATGTTATATGATTAATTCCATATATGACATTAATCAATATGTATACCTTTGGACCCTTAGGCTCTTGGAATGAAAAAAACTGAATAGAATTGATTTGAACAACTTCCATCTCGCAGATACGGTCAAAATTATTAAGTCCAATCTGTACTGTTCATTTGTTGTCCGATATTAGAAGATTTATGCGGACAATGCATTTCTCTATTTTCATACCTAGTGTACAAAATACAAGTAAAATATTTGTGCGAGAATGTATTTTAAATGTCAAGAATATGTGGCATATGTGGTTTGAGAGTATTTGTGTATTTTGGAAGTATTGTAAGTTGTAGTATTTTGGTTGAAAGTGTTGAGAAAATTATTTTATACAAATCTGTATGTACCATTGTGCTTTTGAATGTGTGATCGTATACATGTGAAAATGTTCCGACAACTGTAGAGAAGCTGAGAAACTATACAGATTCCATCGACTGGTATTTCCCGATGTTGTATATATGTTGTAACTCCCAAGCTATTTACTTGTTGTTTTGGTTAGTCTTTGCTGGTTTTACTTTGTGTTACCAGAAGTTGTATTGAGTAAATAAAGTGGGAGTTGCATACGTCCTGTGTTGTTGCGTACGTCCAGTGTTGTTGCATACGTCCTGTGTTGTTGCGTAATTCCTGTGTTGTGTACGTCTGTTATTTAATGCACAGATGCTTAAAAGACCAACTTGAACCTGGGTTTCTCTAGGTTGGTTGATAGACTCCAAAAAACAAACTGTTACAAAAATAAATAATTTGATTCCTTACTTCTCTTGAATTTAAGATATTACATATAAATGTGAAGAATGATTTTATGTTAACAGGAAGAACAACCTTAGACCGCCTGACCAGAATATCAATATCAAGCATTTTATTTCCAAAAGAAATTTCTGTGGCCAGTCCTAATAGCTAAGTATGATTTAAGTTACCACATCAAAACATTAATTCTCCGAAGACACATCAATCTTTAGTCTTTTTATTTTTTTACATGAAGATGAAATAGCTATAAACATTAATGAAGGCAGTTAAATCAGTCATGACATTAAGACAAGGTAATCATTGTAATAGAAATTTACATATTAAGTTGGTCTCAAAATGTGCTATTCACCCGAGTTTCCTTTGTATTTATTCCACTCTGCTTAACATTGAAGACATACAGGTCATAGGGGCTATAATAGTTCAGTTGGTTAGCGTGTTGCCCTATGTAACCTTAGATGATGATCCGATGTGTGTGACTTGCACTCCCTACTTGTGGTGGCACAAGTTTCTCAGGAAGCTGAGAAATGAACTAGACTGATTTCGTTGTTGTGTCCATCTTTTTATGTAATGGTTATTGTGTGCGTAAGACACTTTACCTTTATCATTCTGAATTGCATGTGACGAGCCTCCTGTATACTGTTCAGCTAGATAGCAACCGGCTGCTACAATAAGACCCCACCTCAAAGAGACCTTGTGGTGATTGGAGTATCTCAGGAAGCTATGAAATGGACCAGACTGATTTCATGGTTGTGTGCAGAACACTTTACCTTTATTATTCTGAATTGCATGTGACGAGACTCCTGTATACTGTTCAGCTAGATAGCAACCGGCTGCTACAATAAGACCCCACCTCAAACGGACCTTGGCTGTTCACATGACAATAAACAAACAAAGATATTGATCATCATTAAGTTACAAATATGTGAAACTACATTTTATACAAATAGATCAGCATCTTTATTACAAAATTAACACTATTCACAAATAACTGAAGGATTACTATTCCCTGAATCCAAAAATCTGAAATGATTGTCTTCATAAGAATTTTATTCTCCTTCCTCCCAGTCTATATATCTTCGTCCAAGAGGTTTCAAATCATTATAACAGTAGTTCCATGATGCCTTCATGGCAGAAGTCGCTTTTTCCTTGTCAAAATTTTCAGTTCCCATCAAGGCCTTGAGAGCTGTTTGCCATACACAATTCTGTTCAAATAAACAGGAAAACAAGCATCAGGATATTCAATACTACTAACTATACTGGGAATCTTTGGTGGTTGATAATAATTCACTCATTTCACCTGTTCCTGATAGGGTGAGTCAATAGTGCAAAAATGAAAGCTGGAACAAAGTTTGATGTGCAATCTAATGACAACATATAAAATAAAAATGTAATGACATTTTTATACATATTTAGTGTGAATATAACACTAACTATATATGTATACAATATATATACAAATGCACATGGAAATCATATTTGATTCTTCAATATGATGACAGTAACAATACATTTATCATGAGGAAATACAAGAGATCCAGTTCACAAAACATATGGAAAAGAACAAGAGGGCCATACGGCCATTAAAAGGTTATTCTATTAGAAATTTGTTGAAATTCATTAGAGCATTGAGAAATATATCAATTGGAACCAAAATTTGTGTTGAGGAGTAGACCTGTTCCTAAGAGTCAAAATCATCCTCATGAATTTAAGACTAGATTGTTCTAATCTAACTTTATTCAATTCCAATACTTCAAGGCATGTGGGAGGAATAGCGCGGTGGAATCTTATCTTAAGTTGTCCTTTCAGGGTCGTGAATCTATCACTGGAGGTGTCATCAGGAACTAATTAAAGGCATGATTGCCCTGACCAAATGATGCACCAAACCAAATTTTGTTGAACTCCATCAAAGCATAGATCAAAGGAAGAGTAATGTTTAAAGCTAATTGCAGCTAACTCTCTGTTTTAGGGCCCCACCCCTTAACCTCACTAGTGTGAAATCAAAATTATGAATTTAAGAAATGATTACCAACTCTAATTGATAAATAAATTCAAAACTGGTTGGAATCCACTGAGACCTAGAGGAGTGACATAAAGCAAAATATTGGGCTAATTTCTACTTTGGGGCCCTGTTTCTTTGTCCTTTGAGGTCAAATTAACTTTCTGAGTTTTGAATAATTGCCCACCCCTACAAATGTTTCGGACAGAATTTGAATGAAATCAATTGAAGCAGTAAGTAAGAGTAGCATTGTGAAGAACAAGAGGCCCCTAGGCTTTAATGGTCATCTGAGTTGATTTTTATTTTATTTTAACAAATGACATGCACAAACTTTACAAAACTGACTTATCCAATATCTAGTACACAGATTTAAGCCTGCACAGTATTATAATATTTATTTATAATAAGTGTGGATTTAAAGGACATTGCAGAAATTTGAACAAATCCAACTCTTAGGGCCCTGCACTAAAGTTTTCAAAACATTGAACCTCCTTGGCAACGGAATTCCTCACTACCGTAAATCATTTGACCCATGTGACCTTGAAAGTTGGTCAAGGTCATTCACTTGAACAAACTTGGTAGCCCTTCGTACCACCGTGCTACAGGCCCAAAACAAGATCTCTGTACCTTTTGGTTATTGAGAAGAAGTCCTTTCAAAATTTTAACACATTTGACCACTTTGACCTTCAAAGTGTGTCAAACTCATTAATTTTAACAAGCAAAGGTTCAGTTTGACCCCTGTGATCTTGAAAAGTTATCCAAGGTCAATAATTTGAACAATCTTGGTAGTCCTTCATCAAAACATGCTAAAGTTCCAATATAATTTTATAGAGAAGAAGCCAAAAATGTAAATTGTTTATGAATAAGGATGAACAATGACAGACAAAAGGGGATCAAAATAGGTCACTTTTCAAGATGTCATGAGTACTAAAAGAGTTAATATGTCCTTGAGTAAAACCTTTATCTCCCTGAGGGAAGTAAAACCTGTCTCCTTGTGGCAAGTAAAACCCATCTCTCCGTGTGGCAAATAAAATACATATCTCCCAGAGGCATGTAAAACCCATCTCTCCCTCTCCCAGAGGCATGTAAAACCCATCTCTCCCTGTGGCAAGTAAAACCTTTATCTCCCTGAGGGAAGTAAAACCTATATCTCCCTGAGGCAAGTAAAACCCTTATCTCCCTGAGGCAAGTAAAACCTTTATCTCCCTGAGGGAAGTAAAACCTATATCTCCCTGAGGTAAGTAAAATCTATATCTCCCTGAGGCAAGTAAAACCCTTATCTCCCTGAGGCAAGCAAAACAAGTTTCTCCTTGAGGCAAGTAAAACCCTTATCTCCCTGAGGCAAGTAAAAACCCTTATCTCCCCGAGGCAAGTAAAACCCTTATCTCCCTGAGGGAAGTAAAACCCTTATCTCCTTGAGGCAAATAAAACACATCTCTCCCTTGGGGAAGTAAAACATGTTTCCTGAAGGCAAGTAAAACCTACCGGGGTATATCTCCCTGAGGTAAGTAAAACCTTTATCTCTCTGAGGTAAGTAAAACCTATATCTCCCTGAGGTAAGTAAAACCTTTATCTCTCTGAGGTAAGTAAAACCTTTATCTCTCTGAGGTAAGTAAAACCTATATCTCCCTGAGGTAAGTAAAACCTTTATCTCTCTGAGGTAAGTAAAACCTATATCTCCCTGAGGTAAGTAAAACCTTTATCTCTCTGAGGTAAGTAAAACCTATATCTCCCTGAGGTAAGTAAAACCTTTATCTCTCTGAGGTAAGTAAAACCTATATCTCCCTGAGGGAAGCAAAATCTATATCTCCCTGAGGGAAGTAAAATCTATATCTCCCTGAGGCAAGTAAAACCCATATCTCCTAAGTGCAAATAAAACCCATTTCTGCCTGAAGAAATTAAAACCTATGTCTCCTTGAGGTAAGAAAACCTATATCTCCTTGAGGCAAGTAAAACCCTTATCTTCCTGAGGGAAGTAAAAGCCATATATCTCTAAACCAAAGAGAACAAATGTATCTCTAAACAAACTAAATCTAATATATTCCTTAACATACTAAAATCCATATCTCTCTTAACAAAGTTCAACATAACATATTCCTTAGCCAAGTAATACCCATATCACATAACTGAACCAGTAGTGTGAATAAGGTCGTCATAGACACTTGTTACCCTCTAGCGAAAGAAGTCAACAGCAAATCAAATATCACTGTAAACAAGTTAGTGTAAATAACATCTAGTATATTCAAACCAAACAAAATACAAAAAATTTTTTGGTCTTTACAGATTTACGTAATGTATCAGAGCTAACAGCACAGTACTAATTAACCCTGACTTCATATCTCCGGCACATCATATTGGCTATGAAAGTAAAATAAGCTGTCGATAAAATGTGCAATATACACGATGATATCATTAAATATTTAAAAGCAAACAAATGAATGTGAACGTGCACAATAATGCTAGAAAATATGGACCAGACACACAGATTTTATCAATACGTGACTTGTCTTTAATATTAATGTGTCTCACCCCATTGGTTGATTTAGACAGTACTGGTAATGTTTTTTAGCAATTTTCCTTTCATATAATTGAATTATATAAGTAACAAATTAAAATTTCACGTAAATGACAACTTATAAACAAGTGTCTCATTATTTCACAGACTAAATTTTTGCGGCCACTTTATTGTACCATGAAATGGCGAAAATATACAGTATTAATCTATGTACATCTATCATCAATTATGTGAAAAGGGTTATCTGTTTCCATGGTAACAGCGAATGTATGAATAAAGTCTTTGACTACATATTTAGACTATAAAAATTGATTAAAAAAGTCTTCAAAATGAATGCACAAGAGTTTCCCTTTCAGAGTTACAGATGCTTTCTCTTAGATAACCCAAAACATTGTCTATCATCCTTTTTTGGGCCAAACATCTAAGTCCCTTGAAGTCAAATCAATTTCCTAAATATTAGAAGTTATTTCCCTTGTCCAATGATGCATCAGACCAAATCCATTCAGACATTAAGGATGAGTAGCATTTTGGAGCAAAACAATGTCCTTTTTGGTGCCAATCCCAGGTAATTAGGGTCGGAATCAACTTTCTGAATTTAAGAATTGATTCCCCACAGCAAATAATTTTTCAGACAAAATTTGTTTGAAATCTACCCTGGCAGTAAGATGGAGTAGCATTTTGAGCAAAATATTGTCTAACTTGCCCTTCTGGGGCCCTGTCCCTATGTCCCTTGGGATCGAATCAACTTTCTGAACATATGCGATAATTTCCCTCACCCAATGATGCATCAGACAAATTTTGTTGAAATCCATCAAGGCATTAAGGAGTAGCAGCATATTAAAAAAAATATTATCAAACTTTTGGGGCCCTGTCCCTGTTTTCCTAGGGGTAGAATCAATTTTCTGAACCTAAGAAATGATTGTCCTCAGCCAATGATGCATCAGACCAAATTTGGTTAGAATCCATAAAAGGCATGAAGGTGGAGTAGCATAAGGAAAAGTTTACAGATGGTGGAATGCGGACGAAAAACTGACGACTGACAATAGAAATAGGTCCTCTTGACCCTTGACAAAAAAAAATTGATAAGTAAAGTTAAATTGAATTAATGAAAAATTCGAAATTTGCTTGAATTTAAAATTTGACATAAGATCTTTCACACACTTAAATAGCAGTAATACACAATTCATGCTCAAAGTTTGTTATGTATGTCTTCAATCCAAACTAAACATGTCAACTGTAGCAGAGATATAGTCAAATATGGATAAGTTAAGGTAGCAGTACACAGTGTCTTGGTGTTGCCATGGGTGATATGTTTGTTCCTTAGATTACCCCATTATAAAGGTTTCGATTAATATTTTCTAAAAAGCCTTATTTAAATCGGTCTTGTCCTGTTGAAGTGGACAATGTGGGGTTTCATTTTTTTTCAGAATAATATTTTAGTTTTGTGTTAGGGATTACTATTCGGGTAGTCTCAAATCTGTGTATATGCACCAAAAACTATCTTTTCATAGTGTTTACATGTGGTCATGTTGTGAAGGATTGCTGAGTTGAAATTTGTTACCATGACAGTGTTATTGATTTTGAGAAAGGTGTTCAGAGATAAAATTTCTTCTATAAAGTTGTAGTGTTAGGTTGGAATTAACAGTATTTTTGCAGTTTTTGCATGTTTTCAGTAGGTAACCATGGCAATCACATGTCAGAAATTAGAGGAAATGTTTGATTTACACAAATTTCATCTCTCTACTATTAATGTAATTGTTATGTAGTTTATAAATATATATGCATGTAAGGATATGTTTTCATAACCAAACACCTATACCTGTCTATCTCAAACATGATCAATAATTTCAGGATAAATGCAAATTTATTGTTTCCTGCTACCAAATGAGACCAAATGAAATATTCAACCTATCTGATGGTTCCACACAGTGATGTTTCTATGAACAACGTCATTGGAGATCGATCCTATTTTCATTGGCGGTTTACCGGATACGTGTCTCACAGGAAGTTGTGACAGCAATGAATAAGTAATAAACAGTGAAAAATATTACATAAAATCGCAATAAGGCTTGTTATCGTCATTCAGATCGAAGCTAGGTAATTTTTACCCGAGACAAGGTGATGTCTGAATGTTCAAAAAAAAAAGAAAAAATTTTGATAGAATTTTGAAGGAATGGATTAAAAAATACAGTTGACACAAATGCAGTATTTGATTCATCAGTTTTAGAATCATCCATGTTTAACTTACTAAGATAAAGAAGACATAAAATAAGGACCAAACAAAACATCGAACTCATCCAAAGTATTCTATTCAAGCCTGTTTGACACTGGAAAGTTTTACTGTAGTGTGATATTTTTTTCCTATTACAAAATGCCAGAGAAGCCATTGCTTTTATCAATTTTTTTTAATTATTCATTAAGAATCACTTAATTCCACGGACAATATATTTCTATATATTGACTCAACATTTTTCTAAACTAGAAGAAAACGGATGGAGTCAAATTCAATATCCCCTACCCACTGATCTTTACTAAACAGGAGATAGTTACTGTCAAATCTGTCACATATGTTGCCATGTCTGTGAATTTCTCACAGTTCACAGGCCACAAAGTTTCATATAGAGATGATATAATATCATACTTACCATGTGTAGTTGTTCTGGGTCACGGGCTCTTGATCGCTAAAAATAATAATAAGTATATTTTAAAAAGTGTTTCTGTTAAAAAGTTATGAGGAGTTATGTTGTCTAAAAGATGAAATAAACATGGATTAACAAGAGGCATACAACATGATGATATATAACTGTAATTGGCCCTGCTGTATTGCGACGTTGGCACAAGGATCTTGCTGGTCATTCCATGTTCATGCATAGGGACAAATTTGTAATCTAGTAAATTTAAGAACAAGAAGCCTTGCAGCTTTGACGGTCACCTGAGGTATGTAATATTGATTGCAAAATGTTAACGGGTAAGTACCTTTCAAGTGTCACTAAAAAGGACTTGAAACATCAATGAAAGTAAGCCAGTGTCAATGTACGGAAATCATCAAAACTGTCATTTGTAATAAATTTTACCGGTTTATTTCCAGTGACAAATGTACAACTTCATGCTTGAAAATCCAATTTTCCTATAAACACTACAGTAACCTTCATCAAATTCCCAGAAGAAATTCTTAGGCCCAAGGGTCAAGAAATTTAAAAGCTTGCTATAGCACCTTAACACAACAATGAAGAGCATTTGATTCTACCATGTCTGGGTTTTAAAATTTTGAAATTTGAGTCAATTTGACCCTTTTTGGCCCTGCCCATCAGCCCCTAGGGGTCAGCCAAGATCAATATGTGCTTATCATCAATCTATCATCCTTTGCTAATAATTCTAGCCAAGTTTGAAATATTTTCAATGGAAATTAAATAAATTTTGCGCAAAATTATACTTAAAGGAGGGACAGATGGAGCACTACTGGAGCAATTTAAACAGGTAAAACCTGCATGTGTTCTTATTGTTCAAAACTAGAAAAAAACATTTTTTTAAAAGATTTTTTTTCTTGTGATGATGATCATGTTACTTACCTCCTTATAGCTAGCTTTTCCATCTAATGTTGGAGCACAACTTTCAACATCATCTTTATTACAGGAAAGTAAGTTTTTGGAACGTATCTGAAAATTTGAAATTCATTCAAATACATTTCAACATAACAATCGCTTGACATTTTTCACTTGTTATGATCCATATTGCTCTAGTGCTACTTTAAGAACTAAATATGTACAGTTTTGATAATGTCCCTTTGATATATCTAAATTTAATTTAGCTCTGTAATTTGATACATGGGCCAAATTCCATTGTTCCTGAAAGAGATCCTTTGCTTGCATTTCATGACATTGACCATAAGCTAATTTGTTACAAAACTGGCGTTTCTGCCTGTTTTCATGAAATCATTAGATCTATCAACTGTAGTTTCATTGGTTCCATTTTGATATCAATTATAAAGTAAATTATGATTCTAATGATAATTTATACACATATGTCTGACCCTTGGGTCTCGCAACAAGTTTTATTTGCAAGAATTGTCTGCAGGTCATGGCAAGCGAACTTAGTGTCTTCTCAATCAACAACTGAAATATGGCTGATCACCTGAAGTTATTTTTATTTTGACTACTTTGGACCCAATCAGTTCAGAATCAAATTTTGATGGATTAAATTTGTAAAAAGGGACGATTTTCTTTACTAGTATTACTTTAAGTGTGGTTTGATGGGAAAGTGGTAACACACTTGCCTTTGATCTAAGCCAACAAGAGTGGTACCTTGTTTCACAATGTTTGTAAAATAAATAATGTTACCAGGTAATAGGAGTGCTATAAATTGCAAAAGGAAACAATTCTGTACATATTATTATAGTTTTTTAAAATTCTATCAGGAGGAGGTCATTGGTTTTGTGAATGATTACAATTTTGGGGAGATTCTTCTGTAAGTAGAAAAGAAACTCACTGCTGTGCAAGCTAAAAAAGAATCATTTCCAGACATACTTCCAGCTTTACAAGCATCAAGTGCATGTAACAGCACATTTCGCATTACATGAAGTGTTACTTTCTTTTGTTCCTTTATGTCTTCATAGTTGACAAAGACCTGTTCAAAAAAAAAAAAATACAGATAACAAGTTTACAATCATTTCATTTTTGGATGACAATATTCTTGATACCTTTAATTCTTAGTAAATTACATTTTCATCAGAAAAACACATTTATCACTAAACATGGATAATATTGCAAACTTTCATAAAAATAGTGTTTTATAAGGCTTACACATAATCTTAATAGGCAGTATTCTCATTTTCTATCTCTTTCTTTGGAGACATCTTAATATATCCAACACCATGAAGTTATAATTTCACAATAAAAACATTCCAACTTCAGTCAATCACAGCTCGCCTAGGTCATATTACACAAGTGTAACAACAAAATAAATGATATAGTTATATGATAGATTAGACAATGGTTTTGTTGTTATTACCCCTTTCGAACGCGATGATTTGTTTGGATTTAAGTTGCCACATATTGTCTCTACTATCTGGTACTTTTCTTTCATGGGGCTAAAAAACAGATAGAAATTACATGTACGTGTAGTTCAATTATAAACAAGAGACCTAGTGGCCTTAAAGGTCACCAGAGATAAGCAATATTGAATGATAAGGTTAAAGAGTAAGTAACTTTCAAGTGTCATGGACAAGAAATTCAGCGTCAATACATGTAAATTGTCAAAACTGTCATCCTATACTTATAATTCTTACAAAGTTATTTCCAATGGGAAATAAACGTTATGCTCAAAAATACAATATTTCTATGAAAGTTAGAGTAAAGTTAACATCCTCCCCCGGAAGAAATGTTGAACTCATTATGGTTAAGCTCCTTAATACGCTTCTATCCATAAAGCCCATATGATTCTACCTTGACTGGATGTTGAAAAGAAGATTTTTGAAGTCGGAGTCAGTATGACTCCTTTTGGCCCCACCCATCAACTCAACCAAGCCATCATCCTTTGCTCATTATTCTAACCAATTTTTAAATATTTCCAATGGCAATTATTTAACAAATTATGCTCCAAAACCTATTTTTTCTACTTAAACTATACTAAAATTTACCCCCTCCCCACGGAGAAATGAGAAACCCTGGGGTCATGAAATTCACAATTTTCGTAAAACACCTCATGACGCTTACATCCATGAAAAGCCTTTTATTCTACCGTGCTTAGATTATCAATTTGGTTCTTTATGGCAACTATAAGACGTTGTAATGTGGTAAAAAAATCATTTGGAAAATTGTACAAAAGACACAAAAGTGAAAAGCGTCTTTTAGTAGTTAGTGTTAAATACAGTAGAGCCAAACAATGAATTATACTGCATCATACAGCTGTTTAATCATTCTTGGACTCATCACTGATGCTACATCATACATCTGTTTTGTCCATCTAGATTCTTCACTGACACTAAAGGGCCTTAATATTAAACAAACAATGATGCTAAAGTTAATACAAAACTACAGCAGATATCTTAAAAAAATCAAACCAAGTCATTGTGATGTATATGACATTCACATCATACTTGATTTCATTTCAATAGCCCTCAAAATTTATCACAGTGAAATTAAAAGATGTTAAACCTACAAATTTAATTTGCACAATAAACAGATTTCAGCTGACATGTTAAAATATCAGAAATATTGAGAAAACAAAATTTACTTAAATGGGTACTTGGCCATTCTGATGTAATGGTTTTCATCTGATGCAAGGCCTCCATTTTTGGTCAATATTTTTAGATTTATAATTCTATAGAAGAAGTTGTTAAAGGGAAAGACCACACCAAGATATAATCGATTAACAGGCACTTCCTCAGGTAATTGCAGCCAAAGAGTTACTATCTACAAATGTGATAAAAGCAACATACCAATTATTTTTTATTAACTCCTTATGGATGAGGCCAATAGCTTTATCTGAAAGACAAGAAGTCAGTATTCATCACAATTATGATACATGTATAGCATGAGAGAAATTTCAATTACCAATTAACAAGCCTGTTATTGGTGTAATAACACCACTGCATATATATATATATTTCTTTAATTTCACAGGTGCATCAGCACGAGACTGACATTGGTGACATTTGTGAGACTACTAAAAGAAGAGGTGAAACTCACTAGATTGTAATGCGTTTGTCCTGAACTTGAGAGCTCTCTAGAAAACACAATATATCATTATGTGTCAAGAGTGATGACAACACGAGCAGCTCCTTTTCAATTCACGATTTATTCGTGCAACAGTTGCTTACATGTTTCGAGTCCAAGTGACCCGTCTTCAGAACTCGATACATGTAAGCAACTATTGCACAAATAAATCATGAATTGGAAAGGAGCTGCTTGTGTTGTCATCATTCTTGACACGCATTTTACCTTTATCTAGTGAGGACTCTTGTATACCTTTCGGTTTCCACGGCAGCCCCAGGGAGAAAACGTTGAACTTTTTGATTGTGGGACGTTGTGCCTCCACCCCCCTGTGTTGACAATATATTATTGTCATCAAGATTATCACTGTAGGTAGGCTTATTGTATGCCATGCCAAGTTGTGCAGTGAAAAAAGTGCAAAGATGAATATCTTACCTTCTCCTATGCATTCCGTAACATTTTTTTCACAACTTCTGAATATCTCAACACGTCCTCTTTGAATTTTCTTTGTCATGATTGCACCTTCATCCAACTGGAACGTGCTTGATAATATAAAGACAGAGTATGCTATGCAGCATTAACCATTGAAAATATACAATCTACATGTGAATAACAAATAATTTTAATGAGAGTTTCATATTTCATATACTCTCAAATATTTGAAGCAATTTCAAGTATATGGTCCTAATTCTGTGTTTTGTGTATTAACAATAATGAAATGACAAACCAACCAAATGTAACACGATGTCCATGCTTTTCATAGATATTTCATCATCACCAGTCTGATCAATCATTTATAAAACAAGAGACTCATAGGCCTCAACAGTCATCTGACAATAAAATGATTAATTTAAAAGAATTATTGCTGTTGAAATCCAATTACATATTTACAGGAATACTGACATTAGAAAGTAAAATCTCAGCCAAATTTCTGACTTGGGTCTCTTGGGGGCTAATCAATTTTCTGATCTCCCATGTCATTATTCAGACTTACATTAATTATATATGAGGCATTTAGGAAGAGCAGGGTTTTTAAAGCAAACTTCTTGTCAAATTCCCCATTTGCCCTCCCCCACCTTCACACCCCAGTCACAAGGGTCAAACTGCAAAACCCTAACAATGTTTCAGACACAATTAGCTGGAATCCACTCAGGCATTTAGGAGAAGATTTTAGCATTTTAAAGGAAAAATTAATGAACAGTCAAATAATGACAAATCAAACACAATGGCTATATGTCATCTTCATCCTTTAAGTCAGATGACTGGATTTCCCAGGATAGAAAGCAATTTTCCATTTCATCTCCCAGAGGTTTAGCTGATCAAAATATCTTTGCAAGGAGTGGGAATCTCTTTGTGACATTACTGTTAAATACATGGTAATATTGTAAAGAATCTGATAGAGGATGTAATACCCTTGGTGATATCATTAATGTTGTATATAACAAGAAAAGACTTGGCCCAAGGACCAAGCCGTGGGGGATTCCTCATCTTACAGGTGAACAATCATACATGTCCCTCTCTACTATAACAGTCCAAGTTCTGTCACTTTGGAAGCTGGCTACCCAGCTGTTGACTGTTCAAGTGATTCAATATCCTCTAATTTTATAGAGAAGGAGGGCATATGACTCGCCTAATCAAAAGCCTTACTAAAAATCCATAATCTATATATCTACCACTCTGCCTTTATATCAATATCAACATGCTCATGTACCAATATCGTGTATTATTATTGACTATTGATTAAGTATTTGAAAATGAACGATGCTATTTCAGTATAAAAAATAATTCTTTTCACATACAAAACATGGTATTCATGTTTGTGACACTAAAAACATCACCTTGCAAGTAATAAATTGCTTTTATAGAGCTGTAGATTACAGCTGGACCCAAAATTTCTGTCTCCAAGAAGTTTATTGATTGTAATCAGTAACAAGAGGCCTATTGGGCCTGCATCAACAACTTGGCTAATCAACCAAAAATGAGAAGAATTTCTGAAATAATTTCCCTATGGGACCCAGCACAGAATCAAGACATTCAAATTTTTGCAAAAAAAAGAATTTTTAAGAATTTCCTTTCTTTCCCCTATTGGACCTGCCCCTTGCACCCCTTGGGATTGATAGAATAGAATCCTGACATTCTACAAAAGATTTCTTAATGAATTTGCTCTATTTCACCTCTTGGACCCTACCATTCCCACTCTAAGGTACTGAGAACTACATTCTATACAAAATTGATTCCACTTTACCACAGGATGCCTCAGACCAAATTTTGGCAACATCCAATCTTTCCTGTAGGAGGAGTAGGATTTTAAATAATTTGTTCTATTTCCCCCATAATGGGCCCACCCTGAGGGGCCTGAAATCCATCATTTATACAAAATTGAATCTCCTTCACAACAATGCTTTAGATCCAGTTTGGACAAAATCCAATCAATCCTACAGGAAGAGTAGAATTTTACAGAATTTGCTCTATTTCCCCAATTTGCTTCACGCCTTCCGTCCCAAGGTTGTCAGAAACCACAAAATTGATTCCCATAAGTATGTTTAAAGACCAAATTTGTGCAAAATCAAATCAATCCTACAAGTGAAGTATATGCAAGATCTCATTTTTAGCCTCATCTCTCAGACCTCTGGGTGCCATGTCTCATAATTAATACAAAAATTCATTGTCTTTCCCCAGTGGTACCTCTGAAAAAATTTGGTCAGAATCCACTAAGTTTTTTATGAGTAGTGGCAGATAAAAGTTGAGGGACGACGAATGACGGACGGACACGCTGGTATGACATAAGCTCACCAGACTGTGAGGCATGGAACAAATGGTTTTAGGCATCTTGCTGCAAGTATCTGGAATTCCCTACTTGATCACTTGAGCAAAATTATTTCAAAATGGTGAACAGGCATTGGAATAGAAAGACTTGCAGATGTGCAGCTTGCAAATGATATTATCTTCTACTTGCTTGTTTTTTTGTCATCTTTTTTAATATATGTCAGATATGTTTGTATTATAGCTTTGTTTTGTTTTATAGCTCTTATTCTGAAGTCAAAATTGTCTTTAGTGCTTCTTAGTAGATTTTTTGTGGATTAGCACAAGTAACATCTACTGTTTTAGTACTATTATGTAATAAATTTTGCTGAAATTAATTCACATTTATGAAATTTCAATTTGTTTTGCTTATCTAAATAAATATTTAACTTTTGCTAAAATTATGTGTCTGCTTATTTAAACAAACTTGATGGAGTTATACGTTTAACTTAACCCAGCTTCATGTATGTCTTATATTATTAACATCTTTAGTAGTCTGTGTTGCATTGAGTATATATGGATTGTTTTGTAGCTTTTTTAATATAATGCCATCTTGTGTGGTTTTATATGTATGCATGCTGTTTTGAAATATTTTACGTATATTCATAGCCTTTAAGTTGTGCTATTGTGTTATATATATGTGTGTGTGAGTTTGTGTGTACCGACTTAAAATAAAATTTACTTACTTATTACTAGACCTGGTTCTTCCGCTGAACGGCCAAATGGCTGTAATAGTGGACGTAAAATCCGTTAAATAAATCAATAAATAAATTAGACCGGGTTAGCTAAAAGTATTTGTGCATACAGCATACTAAATGTGAATATTGACATTAAATCATCATTTTAGAGATAGAAATTTTCAGTCTAAATGACAGTCTACTCGGGGATTAACCGAAACATAAAGTTTCTCGATATACATATGACTTGAACAAATTACGATAGAGGTTCCCCGACGATCAAACAGTCTATATACTGGTGTATCGTGACATAAACTCACCTGTTTCTCTGGTCAATTATTAGCTATAATGCATAGTAAATAAAGTGTTTTATGTAAGTGTTGGGTTTAGGAGTGCTGAACGTTGCCGGTCAGTAGCATTCGGAATACCTCGCTTCGATTACGGTAATGCATACGATCTCTAAACTAGTTGGCGTTCTTCGGCAGTCACAATATTTCTTATCATTTTTTTTTGTGTACAACAATGCACTTTGGAGGAGATTGTAACGGATAATGCTATAATTGTCACATTTCAAGGGATAATCGAGTGTTCCGATTCGGTAGTTAGAGGACACATGCGTTTGTTGTCTGAAGAGCTGCATCGAAGGGACGTAACTCCAGTTCATAAGGGTTTTTTTTGTTGTAAATACATCGAGTTTGGTCAATTTAGGAATTAGTAATAATAAACCCCATGTATTGGCCATATGTTGTAAACGGATATATTTGAAGCCAGAAAAATAGGTATAGTATGTAAATAGGTTTGTACATGGTTGAGTGCCTCATCTAGGTGTTCCAAGCTGAACTTTCCAACAGTATCAAACAGCTCTGTGTCAAGTATACTATACATAAGTGACTTAACGATAATTTCTGGTACAAGATTTTTAGTCCTCTACACCAGACTCCTTATTTGTTTGATCTGGCTGTCTTTCTCTTACGCCACCTCCGATGTTCCGATGTCTCTATAGTTATCATAAAGGAGTTCTTGGTCTTCCCAATACTTGTCCAGTCTGTTCTTGAATGCATTTATAGATGGTGCTGTTGTAACGTGCAGCCTAGCTTTGCACACGGTGGGTAAGTCTCTGATTCCTTGCAGAGATACTAGCTAACAAATGCCGATATATACATATAGCGTGGAACAGCAAACTCTACCTGAGTTAACAATAAAACTAACGAACGAACTAGTATTCACATGGACTGCTGTCCCGACACAGACTGTTCTGACTAGCATGTGAGCGTGAGTGCAAGCTCGACACCCAGTGACTTCACCTAACCCTAGTTCCAACTACTGAACTAGTCGCCGAGCAATACCACTTAGTCGGTCCTGACTAAGCACTAGGTTGTCCTACCAAGTAAGTCAACCCTTGTTCGTGTTCCTAGCTCGGGTTCTAACCTAACCCTATAGCTAGCTACCCACAGTCAAAAGTCCAAGCTTCGGTGAGAGCTAAACAGCTCTCGCACCAGCTTGACAAGCGGTTTCGGAAAAGCCAATATTTCAGACTTTCACCCACCACCTGTTACAAATGACTGTGTTACTTGCTTAGTAAGAAGTCTTTCGTCGTCTGTGTATCTTTTTTTTTCTTTTTCATAAAAAATTTATTTACAAATACATTAAAAGATGGTAACATCACAGTATAGCGGCAAATTTGAAGTAACAATGAATATATGTCATTCCTGGTTATACCTGGATGAAATCTGAGAAGAAAAGAAAGTATTGCATTGAATGCATAGATTTGTAATATGTAAATGAGAAATTCGATATAAGCACACATCATTGCATTGACTACTAAAACAATGAACCTGAAATGTACGTTAATTTACCGAAATGTTCGAAAACATTAAAAACTAATTTCACATGTTTTTTTATCTACATCTACAAGGGGAGATTAATAATAAGAACATCTTCTTTCACATTACAGAAGATTTGTGTGGTACACCAGTACTCAGAAAAGAGATTTTTGGGGAAACGGGCAAAATCGGACCTTATACGCAATACTACATTATTTAGGAAATGACAAACAAGAGAATCGGGAGTAGGAGATTTCTGGTGAATTTTTTTGGAACAACGAATCTGCCAAATAGTTGATAGAGATTCTGCAACTAGATACAAGATAAGAGATTTTAGTTTCAGAGTTAGATTGACAGGAGCATGAAAACGCCACAGTGCCGAATCAGTAGGGACCTTCTTGTCCGAGATCTGGTGTATCCAAGAGTTCACTAAATTTAAAAGAGACTGAATGAAATAACACTCATAGAACAAATGTGATATAGTTTCAAAGCCATCACAAAATATACAATATTTTGAGGGATCAATCCCAAACTTATACATTCGAAAATTGACTGGTAGTATGTCATGAACTATTTTGAAAACGACATCCCGGGCTCGGGTATCTAAAAACTTATTTGAAACATTACGAAATACCGGCACAAAATCCACCGCAGGAAAGACTTTCAGGACACGAGGTGGCTTAATAATTTTAGACAATAAAGAGGTGTAAAAACACTTGGTAGTAAAGGACTCAAAATTAGAGTCGGAGAAATGATCACGATATTTCTTAAATACTTTATATACAGTAGAATAAAATGCCGGGCAACAATCACTGTGAGGAGAGTTATTATTAACAAATTTGAGAAAATCACGAAACTGCAAAGAAAGCCAATACATTGTAAACCCTCTCCATTTTGCATCGGAAGCATTATAGATAAAGTTCTGACAATGTTTCAGATAAAATGAGTGTAATTTGACCTTGATATTAACAATAGCAAGACCACCACTGGTGGGGAGGCGTAGGCCGAGGAGCGCGCAAGTGGCTCCCATTTTGAATCCCAAAGGAATCGAAACAGAGTTCTCTGGAAAAGTTCCAAATAATGCTGAGGCATTATGAAAACAGTACCTGTATACCAGATCCTGCTGCATGCAAGGACCTTTATAATAATAGATTTTTGCATCAAAGATAATTTGCGCATTTTCCATAAATCTAAGGTCCAAGAGAATTTTTTGAAAACCGGCTGCCAAATATCGTCAGGGGAAATACCATTACCAACCCAAACTCCACAAATTTTATGCTTTTCTACCCATGTTATACCAAAAGGATGATCGGAACGGGATTTCCATTTGCCCAGCCAAATACCCTTAGTTTTCTGCCTATTTAATTTAGCCCCTGACGCTTTGCCGTACAAATCACACCAGTAGAACAATTTTTGAATAGATAAATCGCTGCAGCAGATACCGGTACTGTCATCTGCATATAGGGAAAGTTTTGCTGATTGTGTGGAACCCGGAATCTTTACACCTATAATTTCAGGGTCATCACGAATCTTTTTAGCAAAGGGTTCCAAAACCAAAACGTATAACAGGGGAGATAAACTACAGCCTTGCCTTACACCACGAGTGATGGGAAAGGGGTCAGAAATAAAACCATTAACAATTACAGAAGAAAAAACATCCTTGTATAAGATACCAACCCATTTGATAAAATCGGGGCCAAAATTGAAGGCTTTTAGTACTTTAAATAAAAATTGGTAATTTACTCTGTCAAAGGTCTTCTCTTGATCTAACGATATAAAAGAACACTTTAAATCTTTTTGATTTACATAATCTACAATATTACGCAATAAATGACAATTCTCAAAAATGGACCTCCCCTTTATAGAACATGTTTGGTCAATGCCAACAAGTTTGCCAATCACTTTACTTAACCTATTAGTTATGACTTTAGACAGAATTTTATAATCGATATTCAAAAGAGAAATAGGTCTCCAATATTTCATATTAGAAGAATTTCTTGGATCCTTACACAACAAAGAAATAAAAGACATTTTCTGGGAGGAACATAACTCCCCCTTTTTGAATATCTCATTATATAAAGACACTAATTTATCTCTAAAAATATAAAAAAAAAAAACATCACATAAAATTCTTTAGTTAAACCATCAGAACCTGGAGATTTATTATTTTTCATATGCTTAAGAGCTGCTAATACCTCATCTTTCCCTATCGGCCCTTCACACATAATATTATCAAAACTAGATAAACTGGGAAGGTCTTTACATAACGAATCAGCTAATTTAAAATCAATTGGTTCTTCTGTGAAAAGATTGGAATAAAAATCCCGGAAAGCTGATAAAATACCTTTGGAATCTGAAACAGAGGATGAATCAGTTATATCAACTTTCTCAATAAACTTTCTTTTACCTCTATCATTCTCCATTTTGAAAAAATAGCGAGACGGTTTCTCAGAAAAATCTAAAAAATTGGCTCTCGACCTTATCATCGAACTGCGAAAACTATCATAATGAAAATCAGATATTTGTTTTTTAATAGCAAAAACTTGGTCAATAAAACAACCAGGTGATTGTCTCTCTGAGTTTAATAAGATGTTATATTTACATTGCAGGGATTTTAAAACACTGTGCCTTACCCTTGCTTTCTTCTTACAATATTCCATGATAAAATATTTGATAACAGACTTGCAATTGTCCCAGTTATTCAAAGAAACAGTGTCTTTATTAGACAAATCGAGCCAAAACTTTCTAAAACAAATTTGAAATGCCCTATCATTCAAAACACTATTGTTAAGTTTCCAGTAAAAAGGGCCGAACTTAGCCTCAGAAAACAATCTACATTTTAAAAGCACAAAATCATGATCAGACCCACCGGATGGAAAAACGGTATTCTGTATGAGATATTCTTTCAACATAAAAGACACATAAAAACGATCTAGTCTACAAGACACCCCATTACCATGCCATGTAGTAGCTACAGATTTTGGGTTCAGTGACCGAAAAGTATCAAATAGTTTAAAATCACGACAAATGCTTTTGATTGAATTAATACCACCTAAACCGCGTTTCGGATTCCCACCAATCTTATCAAGAGCGATATTCTCAATACAGTTAAAATCACCAGCAAAAATTACAGGTCTCAGACACGAAAAATGGGGTATAATATCATCAAAAAACAATCTACGTTCCGCTTCATCATTAGGAGCATATATATTAATAACCCTATACTCGCTGTCAAAATATTTAAAATCAACAAACATCACTCTACCATCTTCGTCAAACTCAAACTTTTGTAAATCAATATCAATAAAAAACAAGACAGCTGTACCTCTACTATTATAGGTACCAAAATTCCATAAAGCCTTACACTTTAAAAATCTTTCAATCTTAGTACCAACAGCCAAGTTAGAAACATGGGTCTCCTGTAACATTACAATATCAATATGATGATTATGTACAAAATCACTTAACTCGTACTGTTTAGACCGAGATAAAAAGCCATTACAATTCCAAGATATAATATTTATTGTATTATTTGTTTTATTAACCATCTTATTTTATATCTCAGACAATTACATAAAGGGTACGGAAATAAAAACATGACGGCAAAAACGACAGAGATAAATGCAGAGGCCGGCAAACACCGTGGATAAAACATGAGATAAACAGACAAACGCGAGAAGTATATTATTATATGAGCTATGATACGAACTACGAATATCGACGCGTTACCTGTTATACACCTACAGGTAAAATCAACCTCGCACGCGCACAGGTAAGCGAACTCGTGACCATC